AAAGGAAAAGAAAGAAGAAGGAAAAAAAAGAAAAGAAAAAAAATACAGTGTTTTGCCAAATGAAACACAGATGAGAGTGTTCCATTGAAGACGGTCTGATTCCAGGGGAATAATAGTGGTCAGTAACAATCACATGTTACTTAACAAGTTGCTGAATGTTCTCACATATTTTATTTCACTTCATCACTCAAGACTTCTTTAAGGTAGAAATAACAATTCCCAATCTACGGGAAAGGATGCAGAGGTTTGGGATTAAGTGACATAAACTTTGTGTCCTAGCTCTGCCATTTCATGTGTGTATGTCCTTAGATAACACAAACCCAAGTCTCTTGATTCCAAATGTTACATATTTCTCACTACCCCCCAGTGCTCTGGGAGTCAGAAAGCTACCTAAAGGCCAACAGGAATTAAGCGTTTTGACAGCTCTGAATGAGTTCCGTGAGTCCTTCTGGACTCCCTTCTATCCTCCTTCCTCTCCTCTTCTCCTTTCCTCCAATTTGCTTTTAGTGTCTCCCATGCAATGGGTATCAGCAACGTGCTAGGGCATCAGAGATTAAAGAAAAAGTCTCTAGCTTCAAAAAATTCACAGTGCAGTGGGAAGGTAGAGAAATAATAGTGTGGCGATGCACCAAACGTTGTAGAGTTAGGTCGAATCGAGAAGGGGAGTTATGCTGAGATCACCCGCCCAAGTGGGCATGTGGATTCATACTCTCCACTTAGATGAAAAGTGCAAATTCCTAAAGGTAAGGCGTACTTGCTTTGATGTGTGCTCACTTCAAAGGGGAATTGTTTTATTTTGAAACAATTCCACCGCCTTCAATATCCTTTTAGCACACCCTTCAAAATATGGCTTTAGATCTTTCATTTATGTTCTATAACATGTGTTTACCCTTTCCTGACTAAATTTAGAAGCATGCCATCTTATTAGTAGTTCGTTTATGTACTCTTTAAAGAATTATCAATGTTCGAAAGAGGTATAGAGGCCCCAAATAAGTGTGTTGGGGGGAGGTCAGGGATTCCCTTCTAGGTCTGGTATATAGGAAAAACAACTTCTAATATATTAGGAAACAACTTTGTTTATCCTCAGCCACTGGCAGGAAGAGCAGGTGGGTAGGTGTGTGTGTTCACACGTGTGTGGCAGAGGTCGGTAGCAGATAAATTTCCCAACAAACTATTTCAACAATTGTTTTCATTAGTGGCAATAAACCACTCACTTTGTTTTTTCAAACATCTAAGAATTATTCAACAATAATAAATAGTTGGTAGGTGCCCACTGGGTACCAGCAGCTTCTTAGACACAAGGTCCAAAGTGGAAAAGGAGACAGATACATTTCGGCCCCACTGAGGACCAATTCTAGAAGAGCGAATGTAACTGTTGCTCTTAAATCTAGCACTTTACAACATTGCTTAAACTGCTTGGCATTTCCGAAGCACCGCACGCTGTTGACAGTTCCATTTCTGAGTATTTGATCTCCTTCTCATCATTATGTCCCCTTTGAACAACTGTGACATCCTCTCCCCAGCTCTCTGCTCCAGCCTCCAAATTTTATTCTAGTCCTATCGTTCACTTTTCCATTGAAGTTATCTTTTTTCTCCTTTCCAACTGTAAATAATAATAACTGACAATTGCATGGGCTTTTAAAACATTCACAGAGAAAGCTCCGTCCACCGTCTGCATCAACAAGCACTCATGCTGGGCACAGTGCGTGGCACCAGCCCTCATAGTAAGTGCTGATAACACAGTGTGTGAGAGACTCGAAAAGTCTTCTAATCCTTGATTCTGGTTCTTTGCATCCGTTGCAGGTGGTTCCCTGGGAAGCAGACCTGGAGATGAAGATTAGCGTGCAGGAGCTTTATAAGGAGTACTTTGGGACCAGGGTCCATGGAAGAGAAGGGGAGGATGCAGCACTGGGAAGAGGGGGAGGTCGAGCTGTGGGACCATTTTGAAGGAAGTCTCAGCCGACTCGACTCAGAGTTCTAAAGATGGGATGACTCTCCAGAACTGTCTGCTTGGGAAGTTAGACTGACAGCTGAGGATCATGGGCCAGCAGCACTCTCAGCAGGGGAGAAATGAGTCCTTCAGTTGTGAAGGGGCATCCAGGCAGCAATCACAGCACCCACCACGCCATCCCACACGCATCATGTTCACTGATGCAACCGACCTGCCGTGTTGTCCTGAGCTCATGGGCAGAGAGAGCTGAGCTCCCGAGGCCAGGCCCACTGCCTGTTATAGGGCAGTGCAGGAAGAGGCTGGAATGGGTCTGATCAAATCCCAGCAGATAAATGAGCAAAGACCAAGTCAGGCCAAGGCGGGCAATCCCATTTCCTGCCTCAGGTCTTTCTGTAGAGGTGCCGCCCCTGTGTTCTTCACCCAATCTTCATGTCTCCACTTACACACGATATTCTCTGTTGTCTCCTCTGGCCCCAATCTAAATTAAGATCCTGGTGACCCACTTGCTTAATATCCTGGACTTTGCCTTTGTAATACCTGTTGCTCTATAGCCCACTCGGGAACTATTTATCCATGTTTTCTTTCCTATTTTACTGAAACCCTCATGAAGGCAGGCATTTTCTTTTTACTGTGGTATCCTCCATGCCCAGTGGGGTTCCTTACATATAGTAGGTGCTCAATAAACACTTTTAAAATAACTAAAATTGCAGTAGGGGCTCTGTCAGGGTTCTTTGGTTGCAAGCAACAGAAATGGACTCTGGCATTATTAACTAAGGGAGTTATGGGAACAATGTGGGGGACCCTCAGGACCACAGGGGAAACTGGGAACAGGGGTGAAAACAGGCAGCACCTAGAAGCTCTGGAGTCAAGACACAGGAGCTGCTGGATAAAGGAACCATCTTCAATCTCTGCCATTCAGCTGGGAGTCACTTTCCACAGCAGTGAGAGAATATCTGACTGGTCTGGACTGGGTCATATGCTGTCCCCTTGGCTAGAAGACAGAGAGCTGACAACAGTCTCACCAGAATGTATCCAAAAGGAAACTGAGGGTGGCTGAAAAAAAAGGCGTGGATGAAGGGCAACCAACAAAACGAAATGAAACTAAAAACATTCCCACTGCAGGATCCAGAGAGAGGAAGGAGAGTCCTAACAAGCTGGGTGTATCAGGAAAGAATCCCTGGGGGTAGGTATAGTTTCTATCTTGTTTATCTCTCACCCCAGTGCCAAGCATGATGGCTGCCGCTCTGTAGATGTTTTAAAAATCAGGCAGGTGTGGCAGAAACTATCGGTGCCTGTCCCGTGCGTGCCCTCAGCTCTTACCCTTTGTGTGCTTGCTGATGGCTTTCCCATTGTGAGTATGTGAGACTTTGGCCACTGGACCATGCTTGGCCCATGGGTGGGTGCAGGAAGTACTGGGAGTTTACACCCTATGAGCCGCCTGCAGCCAGTGACAGATGGAAGTGGGTGGGGGAATATCTCAGCTCCCTGGTCCCTGCTCTACACAGTCATCCAGAGATCCCCATGTGATTAAGTCCTTGACACCCACGGCAGGAACCTGCTCTTTAATGCACGTTATAGAGCCCTCCTGCTGCTCCCTGTCTCACCTCTCCACTGCGCTGCTGGGGCTTCCTGGAATTCTTCCAGACGAACTACTTGCAGAGGGGGCAGGAGGGGCGACTGGCTCTCAGGGACTCTAGGGAGATGAGCAGCACCCTGAGGTGGCATCAGAGAATATTTGCTCTCAGGCTGATACGTTCTTATGTCCCACTTATCTCTCCTACCTTCCCTTCAGCTCCGGACCTTCCGTGGTCACATCCACTGGTACCAGTGAGTGTGTGTGCCCAGAATGGTAACTCAGTTTTCAATTAGTCTCAGGAAAACGTAGTTAGGTGGATCAGCTGCTGTCCAGGAAACTCCCTACACACCACGTGGTCGTAACTGGACATGCTCTGGGCGCCTTGCCGCTTGGATGGCCTCCCTGCAGCTCTCCTACTCCCCTTCTTACCTGGGACATGGGATTTGCACAGCTGTTCTCCTGAAAGATCACCCACATCACCCCTAAGATGCACAACCTCATGAATAACATCTCACGTCACTCTCTGGTCAAGGATTGGCCTCAGTCTCAGAGTGATCTTTCTTAAACCTGGATTTAGTCAGATATGCTTCTGCTCAGAAAGTTTCATTGTCTCCCTATTGCTTGTAGCATGACATTCAGATTTCTAAGTGGGCTTTTCCAGCCCCAATCAGCCTCTCTAGCACTACCTCTGGCCACTCCTCCCATGGCCCTGAGGCAGCCACACTGGACTGCTGTTACTCCCATCCTACAAATGGGCAACTTGTTGCCCATCCTGTGGCTTTGCCTTTGCTGATTCTCTCCCTCTCTTCTGCGTCTGGTGACACCTCTCTTCTGCAAAGCGATTGAGAACACCACCTCCATATCCAGGTGGAAGTCATGGCTCTTCCTGCCTGCTTTGTTTATACTGTTATAGTAGCCCTTACCACACTTTGTTGCAGCAAGCTGCATGCAAATCGGATTTCTCTGATAGAATATAAATTCTGAAGGCCACATTTGTGGGTTTGGATCACCCATGTGACCAGAGCTCTATAAATACTTTTATGTTTTAAATAAGTAACAAATAAACTTTTAAAAATCTCTTTCTGTTTTATTGTTAATCAGATCTTTACAGGAAGAATAAGCTAGAGAGAAATTGTTTCTAGTGCAAACTCATTTTAATATAAGGCTCTTTGAGAAGAGGTTCCGAAATAAACAAAATAGCAGGCAGCATCATGAAATCCTAGAAATGTCCCTGGTGTAAACCCGAAGGTTCCATGAGGAGATGAGGTGCCTAGAGCCAGAATCTCGGGTGATTGCCTGTGATGCACTCTCCCTTAGAAAGAAAGGTTTTTTAAAAATGCTTTTGATACACTTCTTTCAAATGATTTTCAAATGAAAAATTCAAATATAATCAATGTACATCAAAAGGAACTTCACAGCATTCATTTTCTCCTGCTGGTGTTACCTAGCCAGGTACTCTGGGCAACTACAATTTCAACATTCTTCACTTTGCTCTAGGAAGTCGGTGCAGTCTGATGAACGACTAAGTTCATTGACACCAGGAGAGACTGGGGCTCTAAGAGGACAAGTGCATTGTGAAGCAATCCCAGCAATCTCTGCCAACAGAAAATGAGGCAGTAACTGCAGCCAGGAATGCTTAGCCCCAGACACTGTTCTTAAGCAGCAGCGACACCACCATGGCAGAGGAGGACAGCTGAGTTCCCTTCATAAAAGCCTTGTTGCTTACGTAGCACCTACCACGTGCCAGACACCATGACCTTGAGCTCTGTGCTTGCATGTCTCGTTAACCTTCACAGGAACCTAGGAGATAAGGACTTTTATGACGTGCATTTTGCAGATGAGGTTTCCAGAAGCTAAGAAACTGCCCAAGGTCACAGGGCCTCTTGGCAGGAAGGCAGAACTAGACCCCAGGTCTGCATAACCCCAAAGCCTGTGCCCTGGCCCTAAACCTGCTCCTTGTGAACTTGGCCACATGTTAGAATTACCCTGGGATCATGGAAAGATGCAAAATAAATCAGACAAATAAACAAGTACAACAAACAAATAAGATCTATACATCCTTATGTGGCGATAGGGTTCTCTAAAAAACAGAGCAGGGAAGAAGGACAGGGTGATGTGTGGAAAAAGGGTAGCTTGCAATTTTAAATATTGTCAGGAAAATAATCAGTGAGACAACATATTAGTAAAGATCTGGGGAAAAAAGAGCCACGTGGTTCTCTAGGAGAAGAGATGTCCAAACAGGGGCTGCGTGGCAGGCACAAGGCCCCATCATAGGACAATGGGCCGGTGCAGCTGGAGTGACTGGCGGCGGTGGTGGTAGCAGAAGATGAGGCCAGATGATCATGTGGGACCTTGTGAACTAGAGTGAGACTTCTCTCCTCTCACTATGTACGTCTACTGGTCAAATTACTCATATTCAACTTTTTACAAACATTTAAAACATGCATGAAAGTAGAATTGGCCTAAGGTGCATTAAAAAATCTGCCTTCAAAGTTGGAGCACCTGAGCAAATGTTTGGGACCAGGATACAGAGAAGGGAGGGGTCAGAGAACCAGGAAAGATGGGAGGGGAGCAGCAGGGCCCAGTGAGGGCTCCAGGGAGTCCCTGACCACCTCGAGGCCATCATCCCTCTGACACTGGAGAGAGTGCAGTCGGGGCCAATTGGAAAATCCAAGCTTTCTCATTAAAAAAATAACAATGGCACCACGGATGCATGAGTGTTGTCCTCCCAATTCATCTCTTTATAAGAAATCAGCATTTTTTTCTATCCTTGCTTAGCTTCTGCCTTGCCACTTCCTACCTCATTTCTTTTATTTTAATTCTGCTGTCTGACCCTGCTATAGACTGTGTCTGTTTAATCAGCCACAGTCCCTTTGTTCACATCCTCAGCGTGACCTCCTCATCCTCACCCCTAGCTCCAGTCGGGCCACTGTCTTGAGTGGTGGCCGGGCTCCTGTGATCGCCTCTGTCCCACCACATCCTCCCACTACATCCCTCTCTCACACTCTCATCCCATCCCTAGTTCCTGGTCTTGGTCCCTTGCTGGCAGACTGTTAGGTTGGTGGCCCCCAATAAACCACACCTTGAAATAGTCAGTGTGTGCAGCACCTCCTGCATTGACTCTGGAACGGGCCATGTGATTTGCTTTGGACAAAGGGACATTAGCAGAAATGCAAGCAGAGGCCCCGTTAGTGCCAACACATCGGCCAGTGTTCCGGAAGTCATCGGCCACGTTGTAAAATCGCTCAGGCTAGACTCTTGAGCATCGACAGGCCATGTGGACTGAGACCCTGAAGGACAAGGCGCCACCGCAGACCATCAGTCCAAACCAAGCTCCAGGTGAGTGTGACCGTGTGATGCCCGTGTGCTGCCGCACGGGGAGCAGGGGGCTGCCCAGCGGAGCCTGTTCACCCTCAGACTCATGAAAAACTGAGAAGTACTGCATTTGCTTTAAGCCACTAATTTTCGTGGTGTTTTATAACACAGCAATAGATAAGCAAAAGCAATCCCCATCTCAGACCAGAAAACCTGTTCATCCCAGGCCTGGCCAGGCCACCTGCACACTGTGATGGCCTCAGTCTCTGTATGTCTATGTGATTTCACCAGGACCTGCTGACTCAGCTCCACCTGAACCTGGGATCGCCACAGCATCTGATCTGGGACTGTTTGGCATTCACCCTTTCTGAGCAGGAAACAAGAGAAAACTGCTACCCAAATATCCATTATTCTCAGGCTATGTTGTGACTGATGCGTGACTCTCCCCATTCAATCGGGGGCCTGTATCTATCTGTCATTGTGCTGAGTCACCGTGGGGCTATGCATTCTATATGCATTGTCTACCAGCCAGGGAGCACAGTCCTCGTTAGGTCCATACACCCACTCTTGCCTCACGTGCTTTAAGGTGGGAGATCGTTGGCAGCTTTATTTATTTTTAGGAAAGCCTAGATGTTTTAAAACAAGACTCAAATTTTTAAAATTTTAGTTCCAGAAATACTTGAGAAAAACTGATATTTTTACACTTCAGGAAGAGAGTTACATCCTCATTTCTTTAAATTTTTTTTTATTTCAGGGTATTATGAGGGTACAAACATTATGGTTACATTTTATGTCTTTGCCTCACCCAAGCGAGGGTTAGAGGCGTGCCCTTCCCCTCTACAACGCTCCCTGTGTCCCTTAGTTGCCGGTTTACCCACCGCCCATCCCCCTAATCCTCATTTTTGAAGGACTACCTGCAAGCTCGTGTTATTATTTCTGGTGCACTGAATGTGTACTAAAGGGCTCCTGAATTTTGGAGGAGGGAGTGGCTTCTGTTTGCGAATTGGCCACAGGATATCCTGAGTGATGCATTGCTAAGTATGACGCATCTGGTAAGAGGGACTCTGGTCTAGTCCCTCACTGTATTTTCAGCCTTTGGCACAGAGCCAGGCACAGAGATGTACTTAATAAATGTTTATTACATGAGTAAATAGATTAGGAGAAATTTGGTGCCTTGGAAATACAGTCAATATCCTATAGGAAACCATATATCTTGATAAGCTAAAAAAAATCAGAATAAAAAAACCACTGCTCCAAATACGGTAAGAAAAATATCTTTCACTTTCAAAATTTTGCCTTTGCTTTCAAATTTCTAATGAGATTCCTAATAAGCACACAAACAATTCGTTTCTTACTGACTTGACCGTAATTCTGTAGAGCTCATTCATTCATATATTAAGCTTGTTTTCACACCAATATTTAACACAGGAATTGAAAAAGAATATGAACTTTTTTTTATATTAAAGATATTATTGTTCACTTTTATTTGAATTACAAATGTAGCAAAACCATTAAAAGAAATTATAAAAAGGGGCAGGAAAATTGAAAACCAAACATCATTCTGGCCCATGGGAGCCCTGCATGGGCACGGCACTGGAGACCAGTAACTAGTGTACAGCTAGCCTAAGAAGGCTTAGTGAGAAATGAATTCAAGTGGCATTAGGTATTCTAAACCTTCCTTAATATAAAATGAAGTGTCATACCTTAGGAGGTGAATAGATAACAAATGTCCTCGGAATAAAAATGAAGGCTGGACTCTGAGCTCAGAATGATCTATAGCATCTACTGTATAAATTCATTACAGCGGACATTATAGTCACAGCATATCACTTCCTACTGAATACATATGCACAGGCCTGAAATGCTCCAAGAGCACCACAAGAATGATTCCCTTTACCTTGTCCTAGATAGATAAAGGCTGAAAAAACATGCTGTTGGAAATAGGAGGGAAAAAACAATTATACTGAAAATTTATTAAAACAGACCAGCTTGAAGTGAGTTTATTATCTGTATAGTCACAAAAGGTATTTCCAATATCCATGAAGTTATCTGTAATCCTGTCTCCTTGCTTTGCTTTGGTAGGAGTACAGTTAACACTAGAGCCATGTTTTGCTCTCAGTAAGGGCCATCAGCAGTTCCAAGCTCAGTGAGATCCTTTTTGCCCTTTTATCTAACTTAGTAAGTACTTCCTCTTTGAAAGCTTTTACTATAGAAGACTCCTTCTCAAAAATATTTTGGAAGATTGTCTCCCTAGAGTGTGAATAAATGTATAGCTTCACTCCATTTAAACCTAATCTCTGACATCAGAACGGGGGTCATGCTCAGCAAATCCAAGAGCAAGGTCATTACTATCCATTGCCCTGACCTCTTCCTAGGGTACTCAGTGCCCCTACGGCCAGCAGAAGGTAGAATGGCTGACTTTTCTCCTAAAGCAACCAGCATACGAGAATCATTGGGCCGAAGCTGGTGGGCCCGTCTGTAATAATAAAGACGGTAAAATGGCATCTTAAGGACTTCATAGGTCTGCCCAAGGCCATACCAAGCTCTGTAGTCCTGTTTGTTGACCTCAATGGCATGTCTATAAGCCTGGATAGCAGCTGAGGTGTTCTTCATTTCCATGTACTCGTGTCCCATCGGCATCCAGGCTCCAAGATACCGAGGATTCAATTTCAGGGCTCTCTGGAAATATAAGGCTACCTTCTCATTCTGAGATTGTGAACTATAATAATTGCCAATTACACAGCACGTTTCTACACGATATTTATCAATCTCACAGAGGTTATGAGCCAAATAACTCAACTCAGATTTCATGCTCCTAATATAAAGAAGGTTGGAGAATGTGTCCATATTTTCAATCCTGTAAGGGTCTTGCTTCCTTAGCTCATTAAAAATGGAGAGGGCTTTGTCAATATCTCTGATATTGTGATAGGCAACTGCAATTTGGGAAACAATGTATGAGCTCTTAGAGAGGCCCACATCAATGAGATTCTGATACTTTTGCAGGGCCTCCTCTATCAACTGCAACTCTGTGTATATATGAGCCAGAAAAAACTTTCATCCAGGTGTCTGGCAAAGACAGGAACTTCAGCATCTCTTTGTCCGTGATCAGGTTATAGAGTTCTAACCAGGCTCCCCAGTGCAAAGGCAAAACATGAGTGGCCTCCACAAACACATCAATGGCCTCTTTTACCAAGTCCAGTTTTCGAAGCAGCACACCACAGAGATAGAGGCCAAATCCATCGGGTTCCCGAGCTTGGTGTTTTTTGCTGAGCTCCACTCTCAGTTCTCTAAGAGCCTCATTTTTCACTTGTCCTTTCTTCAGGGGGCCTAAGCTATCAACTGTTTCATCATCTTTCTTTTTTTCTCCAGACGGATATCTGGAATACATGTATAGGAAATAGGCTTTCTTGCTATTGCAACCATGTAGGAAATGCGCTGCCCGATCATACTCTTTAACATCAAAGTAGGCCTTGGCCAGGGTGTACACATCCATATCCTGAGCATCCTCCTCTGTAACGGGCGGCGGCGGCGGCTGCAGCTCCGCCAGGGCCAAGGTGGGGAGAGAGAAGGCCAACTCTGCCGACCATTTGCTACTGTGCAGTAGGCCCCGCTCCCGGCTAAGGCCTGCAATAAGCAGTAGCTGCTTTTTGATCTCCCGCAAATCTGAGAAATCGCCGTCTGTGGACAGGATTGGTGCCACTCTTGCTATTTCCACCACATCTGTGGTCACTTCCTGAAAATCTTGAACCTCTCAAAGTTGTTCATGAGGGTTGGAATCAACTTCTTCCAAACTCCTGTTAATGTTGATCTTTTGACCTACTCCCACGAATCATGAATGTTCTTAATGGCATCAAGAATGGTGAATCCTTTCCAGAAAGTTTTCAATTCACTTTGCCTAGATGCATCAGAGGAGTCACTATCTGTGGCAGATACAGCCTTACAAAATATATTTCTTAAATAATAAGATTTGGAAGTCAAAATTCCTCCTTGATCCATGGGCTGCAGAATAGATGTTGTGTTAGCAGACATGAAAACAGCATTAATCTCCTTGTATAGCTCCATCAGAGCTCTCGGGTGACTGGGTGCATGGTCAGTGAGCCGTAATGTTTCAAAAGGAATCCTTTTTTTCTCAGTAGTAGGTCTCCACGGTGGACTTAAAATATTCTGTAAACCATGGTATAAACGGATGTGCTGTCATCTAAGCTCTGTTGTTTCATTTATAGGGCACAGGCCAAGTAGACTTAGCAAAATTCTTATGAGCCCTGTGATTTTCAGAATGGTAAATGAGCACTGGCTTCAGCTTAAAGTCACCAGATGCCTTAGCCCCTAACAAAAAAGGCAGCCTTGTCCTTTGAAGCTTTGAAGCCAGGCGTTGACTTCTCCTCTCTAGCTATGAAAGTTCTAGATAGTATCTTCTTCCAATATAAGGTAATTCTGTCTATTTTGAATATCCTTTGTTTAGTGTGGCCACCTTCATGGATGATCTTAGCTAGATCTTCTGGATAACTTGCAGTTGCTTCTCCATCAGCACTTGCTGCTTCACTTTGCACTTTTATGTTATAGAGAGGGCTTCTTTCCTTAGAGCTCATAAACCAACCTCTGCTGGCTTCAAGCTTTTTTTCGTCAATCTCCTCATCTCCCTCAATCTTCATAGAATTGAAGAGAGCTGCTCTGGATTAGACTTTGGCTTAAGGGACTGTTGTGGCTGGTTTGATCTTCTATCGAAACCACTCAAACTTTCTTCATATCAGCAATAAGGCTGTTTTGCTTTCTTCTCATTTTTATGTTCACTGGAGTAGCACTTTTAATTTCCTTGAAAAATTTTTCTTTTGCATTTTCAATTTGGCTGTTTGGCACAAGTGGCCTAGGTTTTTGCCTATCTCAGCTTTTGACGTGCTTTCCTCACTAAGCTTAATCATTTCTAGCTTTTGATTTAAAGTGAGAGATATGCAACGCTTCCTTTCACTTGAACACTTAGAGGCCATTGTAGGGTTATTAATTGGCCTAATTTCAATATTATTGTGTCTCAGGGAATAAGGAGGCTAAGGAGAGGGAGAGAGATGGGGGAACAGCTAGTTGGTGGATCAGTCAGAATACACACATTTTTTGATTAAGTTCATTGTCTTAGAGTGTGGTTCATGGCTCCCCAAAACATCATAATAGTAACATCCAAGATCACTAATCACAGATCACTGTAACAGATATAATGATAATGATAAAGTTTGAAATATTAAAAGAATTATCAAGAGACATGAAGTGAGCGTGTTGCCATTGAGAAAATGGCAGCAGTAGGCTTGCTTGATGCAGGGTTGCCACAAACCTTCAAATTGTAAAAAATGCAGTATCTGTGAAGCACAGTAAAGCAGATCACAATAAAATGAAATATACCTGTACTTTTAAGAGGTAGTATAGGGTTCTCACAACCCAGGATCAACCTAACGCCATCTGAGAGTGTGAAATGATTAGAAACCGTGTTCCATGTGATGGCTTATCTATTCTCACCCACTGTCCACACACAACTCCTCAGGATCCCAAACCAATGTCCTGGGCGTTTACTGGAAGTTTTTCTTTTCACTTATCCTTGCACTCCAATTTTTGTTTCCTTAGCTCCTCCAGGCTCTCAGAAGTGCTGTAGTCTACAGCCTCTCAGCCACCCACTTTGAAACTGGCCAACACCTCTAGGAATAAGGTGTCCCCAAATGCTGGGCTTACCTTGTGTTTATGTCTTCTCTTGATCTCAACCCTGCCATTTTTTACTGGCTTCTTTCTGAGATGCCTTCAAGCAGATGGATTTTATGCTTTTTTCATATTTTCTAATTGTTTTCAGCACGAGACAAGGGTTGATCTGAAATGCCTAGCCTGTCATTACTAGAAGACTAAAGTTCTTTTTAAAACTTTAATTCACTTAAAATTTATTTAATTTTGGGATGAGTTATCTTTTTATTCCCAATATCATTCATTGAGCAATATTTTCATAATAATATGAACCATTACCAGTAGCATACTCTAAATGATGATATAAATATTTGGGTCCCTTTTTTTTTTTTTACTTTCTATTCTCTTCTACCACTCTTTATATTTCTGTACCAGAGCCATGTCATTTACTGGTTATAGTCAATTACTGTAATTTTATAATACATTTTAATATCTGGTGAGAGAAGACCTCCTTAGTTCTCTCTCTTTTTTTTTTTTAACAATTTTTTTATACCTTTGTTCTTTTGGATGAATTTTAGAGTTTTAATAATGTCTATTCCCAAGAATTGCACTGAAAATTTGATGGAAATTTTAGTAAATTTGAATCTTAATTTGAGAATTCGCAATTTTCAATTTTAAGTTTTTTTAGTTTTTGAGCTACTGTGGTACAAGAAAAAGAAAAAGAAGAAGTGAAAAAATAAAATTAAAAAATAAATAAATAAAATTTTAAGTTTTTAATGCAGCAACATAGCATAAATTTCTATTTACACAAGTCTTTTAAACTTTGTCCCAACCTGAGGCAAGGTAGCCAGGCTTTCATAGTCCCAAACCAGTTAATCATGGGATAAGGGTGGCCTGGCCAGTTGTGAAATTCTAGATGCTTCTGGCTCTCTGTATGTGCAGCTAAAGAGTTCCGGTACTGTGAGGGAAGTGTTCCAAAGAAAAGTTCACAGTGGCAGGTCGTTAGAGGTAACAGCACACAAAAGCCAGGGAAAGGACACACAGAAACAGTAAAGGCGCACAAGGGGACCTGGTGGAACCAACAGTGTCTGCTATGACACATGTGTCTATTTTAGGTATGTGTACATTTATCATTCAAAAAATTTCATTAGTTGTGGCCATTATTTTTTCTGGAAATCTCCCAAGCCTACTCAGAGTAGCTTCTTTAGCGCCGTTCGCTGGGTAAACACTAGATTATTTCAGTTTCCTTCTTCCTTAACTTGGGCATTACCTACAAACAAAGTATTGTAAACCCAACCTTGCTGTACTCCAATATCTGTAACTCTTTATATTTTACTACAACTCTGACTCTAGAAGTGCCCCCAAAATCTTTGAAATACAAAATGACCCCCAAAAAGTGACCTCTTCTCACAAAAGACAAAATGTGTTATTGGGAGCACCACACAGCTCTACTTGGGGGCCCCTATAACAAGTGAAAGTAAAGGACTCATCAGAGCACATAGATCTGGACACATCTGTCCACAGTGGGCTTCAGACCATGGCAGGATTCTACTGTCCCTGACTTCTGAAGCATCTGCAGGAAGTGGGTGTCAGAGGCCCCACAAATAGAAGAGGTGGCAACTAACCTCGTGAGGCTTTGGAAAAATCAAAGACCGTGGTGTAGGCATCTCTCCAGGAAGTCAGAGCTAGGTAGGAAGGGAGGAAGAGAGTGGATGCTGTCTAGCCCATGTTCATGAACACATGTGAGACACCCATTGGAAGTAAATGGCAATGGGGTGGAGCTGACTTTAGAGGCTAGAAAGCTGGAGTTTCTTTTGTTAGTTCAGGTTCTCCAAGAAGTAGACACCAAATTAGGATTAGACGAGCAAAGCATTTATTGAGAGCAATGCCCGTGAAGGAGAAAAAGGGAGGAGCCAGCAAAGGTGGAAAAGCCATCAGACCATGGTGCGGGTCTGACCCCTGAGAAAAAGAGTTAAGTGGAAGAATCTCAGACTGCAGCCGAGGTCTAAGAAAGTTGCAGCCAGGCTGCAGGGGAGTTCTTGAGCCAGCATCCCCTGGTTGGGGAATCCCATGTCCTGCAGGAACCCTACCACGCTCAATCGTTGGCTATGAGCAGACCATGGGAAACATGGCTTCGGCATAGATGCGATGGTAGACCCAGAGGGGCAGCCTTGGAGCCGTCAGGCAGTCATGCTCCCACTACGGGAGAGGCAGCATCTCCTCTTCATGCCACCACAGTTCCACACTAGCAGGCTGGACCAGAACAGAAAAATATTTGTTTTAGTGAAGCCGTGTTTTGAACCCTGGGCCTGTGTGATCTACATGAAGAAACTTGGGTTGCAAATGGATACAAATTTTAAAACGTTTTGGAGCTTAAAGAGTTATACTCTCAGTTTTCAGAACTTCTTTATCTGGAACTGTGCCCTTATTCCCCCATGGTACCTATTAACTGAGGCATGTGAGAGTGAATAACATTAGCAGACATCAAAGAGGGCTGGGAATTGCCGACAACTTGGGCAGAGGTGGTCAGAATGATATTTTTCTGGCCCCAGTATACTGAAAGATAGATTGTTTACATTTTTCTAAACACACATAGGGTCGGCTAGGGTGACAAAGGTGAGGCTCTGTGCAAGAACCCAGGTAACAGTGGGGAAGCAACCAACACACCCTACTACAGCTGCTCAAAAATGCCAAGGATTTTTTTTATATTTATTGATGTCTTTTTTTTAATATTTCAGAATATTACAGGGGTACAAATGCTTTGGTTACCTATATTGCCTTTATACCACCCAAGTCAGAGCTACAAGCATGCTCAAGCCCTAGACATCACGCACTGGACCCATTAGGTGTGAGTTTACCCATCCCCTCCTCCCCTTTCCCACCTGCCAAACACCCTGTGATCGTTACTTCCACATGTGCACATAAGTGTTGATCAATTAGTATCAATTTAATGGTGAGTACATGTGGTGCTTGTTTTTCCGTTCTCGTGATACTTCACTTAATAGAATGGGCTCCAGCTCCATCCAGGATAGTACAAGGGGTATTAATTC